TCCCATGTTGAAATTTTTCTCCGTTGCGTGTCACTTCGTGTTGAATTTTCATCGATGTTAAGCCTAATGTAAACATTTTAAAATAATAATCGTGGCTATTGTATTGTTAAAAATTATTTCTTTATTTTTTACAAGCAAAATAAATATATTGAAAAATATAAAAACAAAAAAAAATATATTTTAGAAGTTGATCTAGTATCAAAAACATTCGATTCAGCACCACACACAGTCCTCAGAAAAACACCACACAAAAGCGCCAGTGCTGCCAGCTAAAACACACACCAACAAAAAAAAATATCTTTTGTTGGCCAAAGATTGCAGCGCCACAGCACTAGCGAAAATTTAAATTTGCCGACTGGAATGCTTTCGGTTAACCGACGTTTCGGATAATCAATGCTCTATTATATATGATTCCAGTATAACATGTCATTATGTAATAAGCATAAAAATGAAAAATTTATTAATTTTTATGTTATGTCAAGGAAGTTTCTCTTAAAGGAAGAAGTGTTTAAAAGTTATATTTATTAATAAAAAACACATTTTAAACGTAAAACAAAAAGCTATGAAATGATGTTTGATTTTTTGTCTTTTTAAGCAGATTTTATTTTGCAAGAAAACAACTAATTCACTCATTATAATTCAGAAATTTACTTGAATAATTTGTATAAGAGAAGATTGTCAGAAAATAAAAAGAAATGTATGTGAAATATGGTTAAAGCAGTACTTTACAGAGAAGGAAAAAGTATTCCAATCTACATTCCTTTCTCTTCTAAAGACCCTCTCTTGTACAAACTGGCTGCTTTTATTTCTTTCTTCTCAGCCATCCTATTCTCTTCTACAAGTACAGATAAATTGGATGGCCAAGTTCTAAATTATGACAACTAAATACATACAAATAATATCAACACTTCTTTAAAATTACATTTTACAATATAAAAGTTTTAAGTATAACATATCATAGCATACTAATATATTGAGTGTAAAAATAACTGCTGATAAAATGATGCTACTGTAATCTTTAAAAGCCAAGAATCTGGAGACTTCACATGTAGTTCCTCTTTTAATATAAAAATTTTTAATCAAAATTCTTTACTAATACCAATTATATTAGTAATTAACATCAATCTAATCAATTTTGATTCAATAAGATATACTGTAGAATATTGATTATCTGAATATCAATCAACCGAAACATTAACTAACTGAAAGAGATCCAGTTAGCAAATTCAAATTTTCGCTAGTGCTATGGTGCTGTAATATTTGGCTATGTCTTGGACTACTCCAATATTATTTTTGTTGGTGTGTGTGTTTTAACTGGCAGCACTGGCACGACCATATTGTATCATTAAAAATTATTTTTTTATTTTGTATAAACAAAATAAATATATTCAAAAATATAAAAACAAAAAAAAAATTATATTTTGGAAGTTAATCTAGTATCAAAAATGTCCAGATTCAGCATGACACATGTCGAGAAGATACTTAAGGACATGTCAGTATTTGAACAAGGCTTTTTTCCCCCACTGTGAGTGGTGTTTTGCTTCAGCTCATCAAAGAATATAGCCCAAGTAGCTGACATCTCCAGATAAACCCAGAAAAAGAAAGAGTTTTGCTTGTTTTGTGTGGTGTTTTTCTGAGGAGTGAGTTGTCAGGACGTGTGTCATGCTGAATCAGAATGTTTTTGATACTACATTAATTTCTGAAATATAATTTTTTTTGTTTTTATATTTTTCAATATATTTATTTTGTTTGTGCAAAATAAAGAAATAATTTTTAATGATACAACAGCCACGATTATTATTTTAAAAAAATTTCGTTAGGCTTAACATTGACAAAAATTCAACACAAAGTGATATGCAATGGAGAAAAATTTCAACATGGTTAATATATTTTTTCATACATGATTAGTTATCCAAACAACCCCAGTCCCGAATTGTTTCGGATAATTCATGCTCTACTATAATTTCATAGATCAAAATTAACTTTACAGTAATTATTATTTTGTTTATCCAGTTTAATAAATCATTTTTCTATTATTTTAGAATATCATATTTGATTCTTGTAGTATTTTCTTTAATTGTTGATACAATTATTTTTTCTCTGAAAGTGGAAAAAAAATCGTTTACATTTTTATCTTTGTCAAATTACAATTATTCCTTATCTGAGAAACTAATTACAGTAATCAAGATAAGAAGAGAATGATTGAGTTTCTTATGCTGAAAAAGCAAATCGGTGCCAAACATTCACAGATGCTTACTGAATGTCTAGGAAAACATTTCAGCAATAACTCCATAGACATTCCTTAAGTGCCAGTTTATCTTGATCTTTCATACAATTGTTCCTTTTATTTAAGAGTTATAACAACATTCATTAATAAGGCACATTTTTCAACGAGCAAAACTAACTTTTTTCCAAACAAAATTCAGTCAAGTGTGTTTTGTGGTAACCAACATACATGATCTTTAATTTTAAAACAAATAAAAAAACTAATTATATTAATAATTAATACAAATTATTCCTCAGTTTCTCTTTTAAAATGGAAAAACAATAATTTTTTATTCTAAATTATAAATTTTATACAAGTTACAAAAAATGGCAACTGGAAGTTGGTAGGTATGTTAAGAATAACTATGTTAATTAGTTAGTTTATGAAATAATGTTGTTAGTTTATTCCTCTTTGTATAAAAAAATATGAATTATATTCTGATCCAGTTACACAGGGTGCTCCTGAGACGTTTGACAGTTTTTAAATTTTAATTTGCAGGACATGGTGGTCATTACAAAATGTTGCTTTCAAGACTTAACAGTGCTACACACCCATTCTCCATTAAAAAAATATATATCTGTGTAAAGCAATATTTATCCTTTACCCTGAAGTGTTATATTATTTAAAAAACCATCAGGTGTTCCTGGCACACCCAGTAAACTGATAGCATGGAACTGCACTAAGCTTCAGTGCTACTATGCTTCATTATCATAGTATTACAGCTTCATTATCATATTACTACTGGACAATTATGAAATGACAAATGACTGTATTAAATCAAGAAAACATCACAAACTCTCAACAATAAAATTACAGTAGAGCGTCGTTTATCCGAATCAATTGGTGACTGGGATTGTTCGGATAACTTATTTTTCAGATAACCGATTAGGTACGAAAAAATTATTAACCTATCCCATGTTGAAATTTTTCTCCGTTGCGTGTTGCTTCGCGTTGAATTTTCGTTGATGTTAAGCTTAATGTAAACTTTTTAAAATAATAATCGTGGCTATTGTATCATTAAAAGTTATTTCTTTATTTTTTACAAACAAAATATATATATTGAAAAATAAAAACAAAAAAAATTATACTTTAGAAGTTAATCTAGTATCAAAAACGTTCGATTCAGCATGACACACAGTCCTCGGAAAAAAACACCACACAAAAGTGTCAGTGCTGCCAGCTAAAACACACACATCAACAAAAAAATATTGGAGTAGCTCAAGATATAGCCAAAGATTGCAGCGCCACAGCACTAGTAAAAATTTAAATTTGGAATTCTTTCGGATAACCAACTTTCGGATAAACGACGCTCTACCATACTTTAATAATCTAAAGTAACAACAGAATTGCTTATGAATAAAACAGTGCTTATTTCTCTAACATTCCAGAAATAATAATTTTTTATTCTCTTTAATAAATGAGTAAATAAATCAATTATCTGAACATAAAAGAGCTTTTATAATTAGAATTCAAAACTTGGACTAGTCGTGTTAATTTCTGATTTCTCAATTTGTATAAGTTTTTCTTGAAGGAACGTAACTATGGAAATGTTTAAAATGTTTATCTTAGTCATTTATAACAGTTACTTTCTTTCTAATAAAAACTTATAACAATAATCATTAACAGTTTGCAACAGCATTACTAAACTACTTTGTTTTCTAATTAAAAATCACAGTACAGTAGACCCCCCTACAACACGAGTTCCTATAACGTAGATTCCTATAACGCGGCGAAAAAATTGCAACGGTATTCATATAAAGACGCTAAAAGGGACTCGTAAAACGCGGTAAAACGTCATCGTCAACACGTCATCGCGGATGAGCAGCTGAACTACTTTCCGCCGTCCAGCACCACGCTACGAAGAGTTTAGGCGGGTAAGTTAAGTTTACTATCGTCTGTACAGTATTATATATAAATTATGTACTGTACATATAATTATATATTAATTATATATAAATTAGGTACTGTATATATAATTATATATTAACTTAATTTATTGTAACTTTATTATAATTATATATATACTTTCCGCCGTCCAGCGCCATGCTATGGACGGCGGAAAGTATATAGTAACGACTAGACGAGTAAGTTGAGTTTACTATCATCTGTACAGTATATAAATTAGGTACTGTAAGTCTAATACAGTACTGTAATTTTATACATTTCTTGTGAAAGAAACATATCTTATTCAACAGCCATAAAAATTATTTATATTAATGATGTCTCCAAAGTTCAACGAAGTTTTCGCAGAAAAATAACATCAGAAATCACGGCTGCCGTTTAGTGCACTGTTCTGCAACAAACACAAGCTTAAGCAATGACAACGTCGAATGGTGCACACTCGGAATCCTACAATTTTTTGCTTATAGCATAGTTTATACAGATTATTCCCAAAAAATTATACATATTTTGGAAATGTTAAGTCGAATTAGTCTAGAATCGATTAATTTTATGGAAGAAAACCTTTCAAACAGCCGTAGTCCCTAAACTGCACACATGCCAGGCTGCAATTGGCTCATGTATTTAAGGATTCCTACAATGCGAAATTCGTATAATGAGGAACGTATCTACCGCGTTATAGGGGGGTCTACTGTATTTTCTTATCAGATGTATATTTGATGAATGTGGTATGAAACTGGAACTTTTAGCATACTAATGAAACAGCTTTCCATGAGCAGTGTTAAAATATTTCAAGACAAAAACCTTAAATTTTAAATACGTATTTTAAACAAACCTGGTTTAGTCGGAGCTTTTGGTACTTTAATAGTATGAGGTACTTTGTCTCCTATGACTTCTACACATTCACAAGGAAAGAATCCAACCTAAAGTACACAAAACAAAAATAATTAATTAACAAATTTGCCTCAGACTTTAAAATCTAATAAACCAATTTTCTTCTAATCTATTACAAATTGCCAAATCAAAATTTATAATTCTTTAAAACCAGTTCTGGTTTTAAAGAATTATAAACCTGATTACACATTATTTTCAATATAATTTATTTTAAAAGATTTTATATCCATAAAATTTAATTTTGAATTAATCAAAACCACAGAATTATTTTTCCTTCCTCCAATTTAATATTAATAAATTTAAGGAAGTTTAAGATCAATGAAATTTTCAGAATCACAATTAGTTTTACTCAGAAATTTTTGTGATGAGCCTCAAATGATTTTAAGTGCATCTATTCTGAGAAAGGAATTAAAATCATTGTGATTGCATTTTAAACTAACAGTAATATTTCGAAGAAATGCAACTTGCAATTTATAAAAAGTGTAATGTAACTAAACTGTTTATCATAATAAATTTATACTGAATCCTTTAATTACAGCAAATACAAACAAAGAAATTTTGTTACTTTTAGCAGTTATCCTAAGAGATCTAATAATTCAAAGAGGGCTAATGACATTCTAGAACATCTTCGTGCATGAGAATTTATTCACTCTTTGAATCTGATGACAACAGCTTAAGCAGCCAATAACATTTGTATAACAAGTTTTGCTGATGATTTCAATGTAAATTTCCTTAATTTAATCATTTTTAATAAAGAGACGTATATGTAATCAATATAAGTTATTACATTGAATTACTATAATTTCTATTAAATTCAATAAAAATTTTAACATTCCTACATCTTCACATTAATAGAAATTAATGAAGATTGAAGATGAACATTAATGATCCCAAAATATAAAATTACAGGATATTAATTCAAAACCAACACATCACAAAACAGATTAAATTAGGAGTTTGTGTAGAGGAAATATTCATAAAAATACATATATATTTAAAAAAAACAGTGATTTTTTTTTCTTTAGCTATAAATGTAGTTAGAAAAATAGGACAATGTGGCAATTTTAAAATGACAATTGTCAAATACTTAAAAGTGCATTATATCTTTTATTTCTTTCAATAAAAATAACAACCTTTAATATTACTTTTGACTTTTAGTATAAAATCTAGTTGATATTAAAAATAGCAAAATTATAATATAATTCCAAAGATAACATTCTTACAAACTTTTATTTTTATAAAAAATCATCTTTTAGTATAGGAATTAACCTAAGCTGTAAGATGAAAAAAATTGTAGCTAGCATCTTATAATAGTAAGTGCACTGTCTATTAAAAGACTTACTGTAAACTAAAAAATTGCACATTATATTCAACATTTTTACTTTGATATAAGGCAAGAGTAGTGTGTGTGTGTGTGTGTGTGTGTGTGTGTGCCTGCATGGAGTATTGCATTGTTGTTCAAACAAGAAAGCAAAATAAAGCTGCCAGATTTATTCCATTCGTAGTTGCCCTTGTATAATAATTGCACCAAATTTCCAAAGAATAGAAATATTAGTCATCCTCTAATAGCAAGTGCTTTCTAGTAAACAGCACAGCTATTAGATGAAAAAGTTACAAACAGCATGCTGTTTATTAGAATAAATACAGTACTTCTTTATTAATATATTTAGTAATCACACTTAGATATTACTGAAAACAAAAAGATGCAATTTTTTTCCAATCCAAGTTCACATGCTTTCCTTTAGAATGGTTTTAAAAAACTTAACATATTTACAAGATTCATATAAAGAATGATAATTCAGATCATTATCAGAACTTCTTCAAGGACTCTAAGAATCATTTATTCTAAATTGCTACAGAATAAGACATAAATTTGCATTTGTTCCATAATCTAAAAAACTAAAACTTCTTTAAATATAAAACACTATGTACTGATATTTAGAGCATGCTGATATGATGATGAAATGCATATTAATTTTATATGAGTATGCTCGAAGAAGCTTAGAAAAGATCAAGTAATAACATTTAAAATTTTAATTATAAAAAATTGCAATTTATTAACATTGATTAAGTTTTTTTTTTAAACTAATTAGCAATTTTTGGGTTCCTTGAGGATGCTCTGATTTTATACTTAATTTTGGAATGATATTTCCTACTGATGGGAGAAAGAGAAAGATATTTTCATATAAAATTCTTCTAAAACAACTTACAGTAATAATACTAATTTAATTGCAATATCTGTTTTACGCAAATAGCAAAAAAAAAACCCCACACATTTTTATGATAATGGTTTTCTATTTTATGTATGTGCTTTGAATTTTTCTAAAAGTCAGTATAATGCACATAAAAAATTAATACCTTTTATAAATATGTATGCTTACTATTTAGTTAAACTCCACAAAATATAAATATATGTACAAGTTAGGTCAAAAGCCAATAAGGAAAGATCACATAACGTTATTCTAGGTTCTCATCAGTATGCACACTCAATTTACTTTTTTATAACTTTGTTTCACTTTATGATCTTACCGTTAACTCCATATATAATAATTTTATAATTCTGTTGAAAATAAGTGTTTATGATTAAGGAAAGCAGTGGTAGCTACACTAGTTTCCTTTTTCTAAATTATTAATTAAAATCCAAAAGTAATTTCTAATTATTTATCTTTGAATAAGACATCATACCTTCAGATCAAATTCCTTAATTTGATCTATTAATAATTAGCTTAACTGTAACCTGAAAATAATCTGGATTTAGATTAGTTTGGCTATTAACAATAGTAAACAATATGTCAACAATACTTGTAAAGAAAAATGTACGCACAAAATAATATTAACATTTTATTTTCAAGTACTGTGATTAGATACATGAATATATAGATAAATATTTATACAATGAAAATTATCTGTTTATCAGTCAAATTTCTTATAACAGATCTTGAATGAAATTACAGTGATACCTCAGTTTTCATCAATAATCTGATAATCTGTCTGAAAATAACCATCAGTGAAATTCGAAACCAACGAAAACCAAGGCAATTATTTCCATATTAATCAATGTAAATCCAATTAATTCATTATAGACATTCCAAAATACATACCAAAAACACATTTTATAGAAAATAAATATAGTGTTTAATACTAAAAACAATAAGAAATTAAATTAGATAAATATAAAAGACTAATGTAAAGAATAAATGAACATTTATTATGGTATTTCCTATGATGGAGCTAAAAGGAAAGGAAAGCAATGGAATTGTTTGGATAGATGTGCAGGGGTAATGCTCACACAATGAGAAACAACTGAGCAAGGAGGTAAACTTGTGAGTCATCCTTTGTTTGTGCAAAATTAGCAGTGAGGTTACATCAGCAAGCTGACAAAATCTGAGGCAAATTTTTTACGGAAAAAATCGACAAAAACCAAAACCGAGGTATTACTGTATTTGTAAAATAACTTCTTACAAATATTTTTTAAATATTTATTTCCTTATAATAAATCAAGTTTATAAAAAAGACAAATATTGCTAAATAACTTTAAATGGCTAGAGTTTAAAATAGTTACAACTTTTAAGAGATTTTTTTTCAAATTATAAAATATTGAAAGTAATTGCATGTAATTTTACAGAAAACATCATTACAAAAATCAGTAAAATTTTCTGGAAATTAAACTAGCAACATTCATTATGCAATACACATTTATTTTCAATCATTCAATAAAATTTTTTGACTTGAGAGCTAAAATTCAGGTTACGAGCCAGCTTCAGCTATCCCACTGCTATTTGGTGCAGTGAATGCCACAGCAAACCATAGATTAAGAAAAATAAGATAGAAAACTGCACACGTGATCGAGTGATATAGGCATGGAAATGCCTATGTCACTCGATCACTTCCATGTTGTGTGTGGTGCCACCATCTCTCATTTCTTGAATTTTCCATCTTTTCTTTCTTTATCTATGCAGTGAATGCTACAACATCCACAAAACCAATTTATTGCAGTACATTCTGTTGTGTTTTTATATAATATTCATTATTTATAAGTACATTTTTCTTATTTAAAAACACATAACAAAAAATTGCTGTGTTTTGGGAGGTCTGGAATGAATTAATGGCATTTCAATTCATTTGAATGGGAAAAATTTATTTGACATAAGAGTAATTTGAGTTGCAAGTTCCGTCATGGAACAATTTAAACTCATAAGTTAAGGCACCACTGTATTAAAACTATCACATATTAAATTCATCTTTCATCTTTTTGTCTCTCCTACATTGTCTAAATTCCTTAATATGAATAACTATATAAAAAGAATTAATTGTTTCATTTATCTCAAACATTACTGGAATTATATCCAAGATAGTTGATAGGTGAATTACTTTCCAAGCCCAGAGAAAATTTAGAGACTTGTAGTGGTTCTATCCCTGTAAATGTAAATTAATGTTATTTTTACTAACAAAAAATAAATTCTTTAAAAATGCTTTTTATTAATAAAGAAACAATGTATTTCATTTATTCAAAAAAAAGAAAAAAAAAGCCTCAATACTAAATTTCCAACAGTCCTGACTTTATCAATTCTGTTCTTAGAAGATTAAGTTTATCAATAAATTCTGTTAGACTTAGTAGAAATCAAATGATGATGTTATCTTCCATTTTTAAAAATTAAGTTCACAGATATCCACATGTGAAATATGTGGTGGTGGCATAAATTCTGTTAATTGCATCTCTCAAAGAAATATTTTAAAAGCTTGTTTGTTTCTGATGTAGAATCATTATAATAAGCAATAAAAAATGGAGATTCCCATTTAAGATGACGACCCCATTATCACCAACTGTAGCATGATGAAACATAGTCTCACATTGTGGCCCTCTATGTTTGGTCAATGATTTTTTATACGATTTGTATTTTTCAAATTTTTTCAGCATAGTAATTAAAATGGACCACCCTGTATATACAGTCAACTTCTACACAATGAAGAGTCATAATTGCACAAAAAACATTTAAAATGATTATTTAAGTCAAAATATTAAATACAG